TAACTTACCTGGTTCCACTTCAGATTATAACTTATGTTAGAGAAACCCTAACTGTCATTTGGAGAAATCTTCTTCTACTTTATATTGCCGACCTCTAAGATTCAAATTTGAAAAAGAAACAACTGATTTATTACTTATTGAAGAAGCTACTTCAAAAGACGAGAAAAGAAAGACGAGATCTTAAATATTGTAGAAACTTTTGTTCAGTTATCTAATGGCAAGTCTATTTCAGTCAAACATATCATTCAAGTTACAATGATAGATGGTAAAGTCCATACTGCTCTATCAAATGTAACAAGCTCTAGTTAATGTTGCTGTATATGCGGGTGTTCACCAAAAGACATGAACAATATTGACAAAGTTACGAAACTTCCATACTCACCGGATGAGCTTCAATATGGATTATCTACACTTCATGCATGGATATGATTTTTTGAGTGTCTCATACATATATGAGACACTCAAAAAGTCTCATACATATATGAGACACTCAAAAAATCTTATCCATGCATGAAGTGTAGATAATCCATATTGAAGCTCATCCGGTGAGTATGGAAATTTCGTAACTTTGTCAATATTGTTCATGTCTTTTGGTGAACACCCGCATATACAGCAACATTAACTAGAGCTTGTTCACCAAAAGACATGAACAATATTGACAAAGTTACGAAATTTCCATACTCACCGGATGAGCTTTAATATGGATTATCTACACTTCATGCATGGATAAGATTTTTTGAGTGTCTCATATATGTATGAGACACTCAAAAAATCTTATCCATGCATGAAGTGTAGATAATCCATATTGAAGCTCATCCGGTGAGTATAGAAGTTTCGTAACTTTGTCAATATTGTTCATGTCTTTTGGTGAACACCCGCATATACAGCAACATTAACTAGAGCTTGTTACATTTGATAGAGCAGTATGGACTTTACCATCATATAAGATACCAATAAAAAAATGACAAGCAAGAGGAGACGTAGAGAAATCTCTTGTTAAAGAGCAAAAAATGAAGATACAAAAAGAATTTCAACACAAAATGGAACTTATTGTTGACTACCCAAAATGTGGAGGATCTGGAAACTCAAATGACGGCAATACTGCTCAAAAAGCTTTTTCAAATGAAGACTTGTTTGCTGATATTACAGGAATAAACAAGGAACTAATTGTAAAGTTGCATATAATCCTAATTTGTATATCAAATGGATTTCAAATAGATACTAGTAAGTTTCGCTTACTTTGTCTGGAGACCGCAAAACTCTACTCATGCTTGTACCATTGGTATTACATGCCACAGAGTCTTCACAAGATCTTAATTCATGGAGCAGAAGTAATAGAAAATCTATTCTTACCAATAGGTCTGTTTAGTGAAGAAGCTCAAGACGCTAGAAATAAAGAACTTAGATAAAGAAATATAGGGAACATCATTCCCGTAAAAATTCAAGTACAAAGACAAACGAAAATGTAATGAAAAGACTTTTTTGTACATCTGATCCAGTTATTTCATCTTATAGAAAAACTGTTTCATTTGTAAAAAGGAAATTTCTTCCGGGTGTTGTTGAACTTTTTATTTGCGAGAATTCTACGTTCTAGAATATAGATCTAGTTTGTAATTTTTAATGGTAATTAAACTAAAAAATAAACTTTTTTAGCAATATATATAAGCTTGATATTTATTTTATATGGTTTGTATAATTAGTTTATAACAGTTCTAATAAAAAAAAAATGAAAAATAATTTTGGCACAAAAAACACGATTTTATCCCACTGTGTACTGTGGTAAAAAAACAGTTATGAACTACTTTTAATGATTATTAGTAAGTGTTAGGATATTTTATGTTGTAATGATAAAAAATAGGTAATTGGATTACAGTAGAATCCCATTAACTCGGACTCTGAAGTAGTATGTATATTTTGTCTGTTTAGATTTGTTAACTTATATTTGACGCAAAAATGTTTAACTTTTAAAAGTTTTAAGTTTTGAATTTTATTTGAGGTTTTTAAATCTTTAAGATTTAACCAAATCTAAGAAATCATTGAAAATGTTTAGCTATGTTTAATTATATTTGACGCAAAGTTATTTTATTTTCGAGCGTTCAACCTGGAAATTTTGTTATTATAAGCACTTAAATGCATTTAAAAGCACTTATATGTACTTATATGCAATTCAAAATTAAAAGTCCTTAGGCGAAGTTTTTTGCCAAAGGGACCCCAAAAATTTGTAGTGTTAGCAAATGGTCTGACTTACCCAGTGTACGACTAAAGCGGATGATTTTATAGTAAGTGAGTAAAAAAGTTCAAAGGGAATTGAAAATTCGTCCGACTTAGTAAAAGTCCAACTTATCCAGGGTCAGAGTTAACGGGATTCTACCGTGGTAGTAAATCTGTATAAACGTTTGTAATAATATAAATAATATAAAATCAATAGTAAAACTATTTCAGTTTTTAATTTAAATATGCCTAGAAATTATAAACAAATCATGTAAGCAGAAAACCTGTTACCTTAATTATTGTGTTATGATGTACCTGTTACTTTTGAGCAGGTACACCATAACTCATAACCAGTTTTAAAAACGGTTTATAAAGACAACAAGCTTCAAAATAAAAAATATCCAGATCAGTATTAAAGATAATATTAAATGCGCATACCTCAAAATGTATGATGGCTAGCCATTACTTATATCTACAAAAAATTTTTTTTCTTTCTTTAGGTATAAATAGTTCCGCGGGTTTTCTGTAGAATAATATGACTTCAGGCGTATTGCAAAATACTGTTTAGACAAAATCATAACTTGTTGACATTGTACCTACATTTTTTATACATTTTATGTGAGCTTTGTTGCACAATCTTTTTTAAACCTTACTTTTGTAAATATATGTTTTTTATACCTTTGCTGTTTTTATTGATTCAATGCATCTTTTAGTTTCTTCTTACTGGGTTTGTTACCATGTACCATGTTACCTCAACACGGCGATGAATTTAGCCCACCATTTAAACCCTCCAAAAAATACTTTGTTTAATTTGTCTAATTTTTAATTGTAATACAGATAGTTTAAACATTTCTATGCATTTCTAACAGTGCAGTGTTTGATGAAACATTTTTTTTGGTTTTCATGCACTAGATGAATATATGTATGTTTTATTATGAATACATTTATGTTTTATTATGTATAACTCTGTAAAACAAAGTACAAAAACTTGAAGCTAAAAAAATTAATGAAAAATAATAATAACACTGTAAATAAAAAATAATGTAATAACACTGTAAATAAGAAAATAATAGTAATAATAAAAAGTAAAAATAAAAAGCGAATAAAAATAATTGTCATAATTAAATATGTCACTTAAATAAAGTTATGATCAAAGAAGAGGACAAAGAAGAGACACCAAATTTTTATTATTAATAAAATAATATGGAAAAAAACAACAAAACATTATTTTGTTTTTGTTGTTTTATTTAGAACTTGATCACAAATGTAGTTGTAATACTGCTAAATGTACCTCCAATATTATCAATTATGCTAATACTTTTTCTTGCATAACATAAAAAGATATATTCCCTGAACGTCACTTTGAATAATTTAAACCATCGGAGTGATCGTCAAGTGACTTAAATGATCTAAAAGTGACATGCTAAATCAAAAGTGACATGCTAAATCAAGTAGATAAATTAAATAGATGAGTTTTGCGAAAACCAGCTATATCGTTTTTTTTCCTATGTTTATGTTAGTAATTAAGTTTTATTAATATTCTTTTGTCTTAAAAAGGAATATTTATAAAATATATTTAATGATAAAAATGATGTAAATAATAAAAACTTTATTTAAAGTTATTAGTGTAACATCTTAAGCTGTTCAAACTCACCTACACCCTGGTTCACCCTGTTCAAACTCACCTACTCGTGGATACATTGCTCTACACAGCTATCCCACCATCACACGCGGGATTGCTGTGTGGTTTATCATAAGTTTTCATAAAGTTCTCTTCTTTAGGAAATTAATCTAGGTTTTTTATTTTACTTTTTTTATTTCAACTCAATTTTTTTTTAAATTTGTTTAAAAATATATTAAATTATATGTGTTAGCTTTGCTTTTCTTTTTAATTAATTTCTAATACTTATGTAAAACTGTTAGATGTTTTGTTTAATTGTATTGAAAAAGTTGTCTGTTTTATTTTTAGTACATTAATTTTTATAATATATTGGTGGATATATTTTGAGGCTTTATTCATAAATCAAACAGATATTATTAAAATAGAATTCCCTATAAAAAAAATTTCATCATTTAAAAAAACCTGTTTACTTGTCGGAGGAGACTGTAATTGGTTCGAAAATTTATTTATCAAATTTTTTAAAATAATTACGTAAATTTTTTATGAAATTAATTTTAACTAAGCGACTAAGTTTTTCCCATATATCTCTGTTTGAAGACAACACACATGTTACAAACATATGGTTTTAAAAAAAAAAACATCTGGTTTATGAACGGAAAAAAATCTTATAGCATTTTAACTTTATTTACCTAATTTAAAAAAACATTTTTTAAGTTTTTTGATAAATACCTTTTTATACTTTTTTTATCAAATTTATTGGTCAAATTGTATAATTATAATTTAAGTTTAAATCATTTATCAAAAATAAATTATATAAATATTATATTAAATTTTGCAAAAAAAAAGTTAGATTTCACATTATTATTATTCTAATACATTTTCCGAATCAATAAAATAAACATAACAACTTAAAAATAAAAATATAAAGTTTTGTTATGTATTACTTTTAAATTAAAAAAAAAAAAAAATTGTTGTATATAAAATATATATATAAAGTAATCTAAAATATCATTTTTATATCGTTTTATAAAGACGCTCAAAAGACTAAGCGCATTTTATTTAAAAGCGTGTACAAAGATCAAACATTAGAACGTGGAAACATAATAAATTTTTATATGTTCAATTTAGCACATGTATAAATTATGCAGATTATATCATCAAATTTGGGTAATGTTTTCCCTTGAAAAATGTGTTGGTGTTTGTTTATGATTTTTAACAATTGAATTTAGTTATTGCGTTACTTTACTCCCCATAAAATCTGCGATTGTTGACCAATTTTTTATTTTTGAATGAAGCTTCATTTTTAAAATCATCATTTTTAATGTTCAACAAAACAAACTGCAAAATTTAAATATAAAGTTCAAAAATAAAAGGAAACTATGGATCCTAAAAATAGGGGAACAAATGAAGAAAATATACCTTCTCGTGTTAAAAGAATTATAGACGCAGATGAAGAAAATATACCTTCTCGAGTTAAAAGAATTATAGATACAAATGGCCGAAAAAGACGTATATATAGTATTATACATCAAGATCCTAAACAAAGTTGTCGTCGATTCCGTGCAAACGACCGCGAAAGACATCGTATGAACTCTTTGAATGGCGCGCTGCAGACATTAAAACGATGTGTTCCTTTATATCATGGAAAAAGAAGAGTTACAAAACTACAAATTTTACAGTTTGCTTGTCATTATATAAGCGATCTCTCGGATATTTTGTGCAACCCAAATTCATTACATGACTCGTTTGAAGATAATCGTAATTCCCAGATAAGTTCTTTAATAAATATGATGGAAATACGGTCATCAGAAGGATTTTCAGCAACTTCAAATCAATCATTGATAGAAAGAATGGATTTTTTAACGTGTAATACGATTAACATGTTTTCGGATGTAAGTATGTTTCCATCATCACACATATACCCAATAGTTAATATTCCTCAATGCACTGTTAGCAATAACTTTTTTGAAATGTAATTGAGATTAAATTTTTAATATAAATAATATCACTTTTTCAATTTTCTTTAATTATAAAACTTCATTTTTTAAAATTTTAAAAACGTAAAATCTATATAAGTATTTATTAGAAAAAATATTCTAAAAAGCTCGTTAAAGTTCAAGCATTATAAATTCTAATTAAAAAACAGTTTACGGTGGCTCTATTAAAAAAAGTGACTTTAACGACGCCGTTAAGTTTTTTTTAAAAAAGGTTAACGGCGGCGTTATTTAATTAGTGGGACTCATTAAAAAAAAATAAATACATTTACGATTGCGTTATCAAATCAGTGTTTTTTTTGATTTTTTTATTAAAAAAAAAGCTAATTGTTAATTAGTGGATGATAAAACACATTTTGTTTTAAATGCGTATTAAATTGTTATTGTAAAAAGCTGTATAAAACAAAAATAAAACAAAACTGCAAGATTGTTTTGTCTATATAAAAACTTTTCAATATAAAATAGCGTCGTTATATTGTATAAAACAAAAAATAAAGCGTATGAATGGAGTATAAGAGTCGGAACTTATACAAGTTCTGATTTTTTTACCCCGTTCGTAAGTTCGTAAAGTTCGTAAAGTGACTTCGCGACCTTCACGGAAAATGTTCAGGCGGAAGAAAGTCTATTTTCTTTCGTCTGACCTTTTTTCTACAAACACTAGCCTAACATCAGTTTACATAAGATCTGGGTAACACCTTGTCTGGTTACATTTCTTAACAAAGTGAATTATATTATTTTTATATTACTGCACAGCGGGCCAAGATCGACATAAAACGGACAAAAAATCATAACTCCTTCATTTTTAAAATTGTCAAATTAAAAATTTTATAAGTGATTCTGGTCATCATGAAAATCTTTTTAAAAAAAAACTGTTTTTTTTTTTGTAGATGTACCTTAAACACCCTAATAGAAAAAGGTGTATAGAGCATTTAGGATTTTAGACATAACTTTTGGTTGTTTTTAGAAACAGTTTTCCCCAGATTCGAAGCATCAATTAATTAAAATGTTTGTTACGTGTTAGACCCCTTTTTATAAACAAAGAAGCATTTATTTGTTATATATTTTATTAGAAATCAGGTTATAAATATTCAAAACTTAAAGTTAAAAAAAGTTACAATAAAAGTTTAATACAGTTTTTGTTAAGGTCAAATTCTTTACAGATACATTTCGAACTCCTAATTAGAGAGCTAATTAGTGGATCTGAACTGCACTATAATCTTCGCATAACATCTTCATTAGTGACTTTTCTTAAATATTTTCTCGTATAATGTTTTCTATAATTTATAACGTATTTATTTCAACATTCCTGAGTTTCTTCAGTAGGAAAACCTTCTGGTACTGATTAACTTATAGCTTACAACTTGAGAACTAATAATTAGAATTTTATGTACAATGAACTAGAACTTTATGTACAATTTGAGGTGTTGAGAACCATAGTTACAAAGAAAAATGGTGCTCTGCTGTTTCTTTAGTATATTTTTCAAGTTCATCAGCATTAATTTGATGTTTGCACGATAAGATTCAAGGAATTACGCAGTACGTCTTCTGAGATTTATTATCTGAATCAAGTATTTCAGCAGATACCTTATAGCTTTGGAATACTTTTCGTGCCGTGTTTCCATCGTTTGTTGAATCTGAACGGCTGCTTTTTGGTACATTTACAATTAAACCTAAGTAATTTTTTGTTTTTTGTTCAACAACTATCTTTTTTTATAACAATTTCTTTAGTATCTTTTCCCCTAACTTGCCACTTTCCTAATTCAATTCAATAACTTATATGAGCATTCAAAGCACCTAATCCATGTATGTAATGTGCTTAATCCAAGCTTAGTGGAAACTGTTATTAAAGATTTTTGAAAAGGCAACATTTAGATTGTTCTTATTTGAAGGGGTTAGTATACTACATACTAACCCCTTCAAATAAGAACAATCTAAAAGTGATAGAAAAGTGGCAAATATAGTTTCGCCTTTAAAAAAAGAATTTTTAAAGGCGAAACTATATTTGCCACTTTTCTATCAATAATTGTGGACTCTTGTTTGATAAAAAAGAAATTAAAGACCGTTGGTTTCAAATTACTGTTCATGTATGTATTGTTATAATTTAATAAAAATAATAAATTTAAATAATAAAATATTGTTATAATATTGTTATATGCTCTTGAAGGAAATATATTCTTGTGTAATAACCTCAGGACTTAACATATCTTTTACATATCGGAAAGTGCTGAGGTTACTACAGGTTAGTGTAAACCAAAGTTTATGCTTATTGTTGTTGAATTAACTACACCATCTTTCCTTGATTTTAATATTTGCTTCACAACCTTAAGTGTAAAAACGTAAATTTAAAGCGTGAGATGAACACAATCCACTAAGAAAATTTATCACCCGTATTATTTTGGAGACTTTTTTAAATAAATTATATGAATAAAAAATGATTAGTATAGATGATAATGTATCTTAGCATCGCTGAACTTTTTTTCCTCTTTTAGTTTCATAATAAGTGAGTAAATTACTCACTTATTATGTTTTATTACATTATTTTATTACTTATTATATTATTATTACACACTTATTACCTCTACATTGACAACAATGTTTTTTTTTTCTGCTCTCCTCTTCTTTGTTTTCTTCAGAAGTTTGTAGAAGGGAAAATTAGTTTGGAAAATGTTTGGGTAAATGGTTAATTTGCACCTGGAGGTCTACCCTATCAGAAGTTTGGATAAATGGTTAATTTGCACCTGGAGGTCTACCGTACCAGAAGTTTGGGTAAATGGTGAATTTGCACCTGGAGGTCTACCGTAGGCAGCTTATTTAAATTAAAATATCAGATGATTGTGTTTAGTATAAACACTTGCAAAAACACAATTAAATAGTAAAAAACACCATGAGTCCATTACTTTAGTTTTTACAAAATATCATACCTATTTTGTGATAAAAAGAAGGAAAAGCCAAGCCCGAGTTTTGGTCCTTGTCTAGTTTATCACTTTTAACCCCTGCATTGCTTGTTTGTAGTTTTGTTTTTATTAGATGCCCCAAGAAGACCTAACGATCTAGTCACAGAGCACGAAGTGCATTTAACCAGGAAGTTAACGCCTCCTTCCTTATCGTGACTCGAAAATATGTCCAGAACTCGTTTTGAACCTGGATCTCCTGCTTATAAAGCAAGCGCTCTAACCACTGCGAAACGGCCGCACCAAGAGATCCTTGTAACTTCATCTCAGAGATCCTTGTAACTTTATAAGCATCAGGGTCGGTAACTAATTTGATTAAGTTGTTTTCCAAAGCATGAAACAATTATCGAGTAATGTCTTTATTTTTCATAATTAATAGTAGAAGAAAAATTCAATTTAAAATTATTATTGTTTTTTAAAGCTTAGTATTCGTATTTTAGATAATTGAAAATCTAATTGATAATTAACTGAAACAAGGTTATAAATAAAATAAACCACATTGCCTAATAAAAAACCTAATAAAAAAGTGAAATAGCATTAAATTCTATTGTCTATTTTAGTTTCCGTAATTCCAATTAACTATTTAGAGTTCATACTTAAGAACAATCTGCTTTGAACAAATGAAAGGGGTAAACGACTCGAGTGTTTAAAACCTGCTAAACTTTAATTTGCGCAACTTTACCCGAGATATTTTTATAAAGAAACCTTTCACAAGATTAAGACACTGTAAAAATGTTGTTCCCATAGTGACTCCTCCATAGTGACTCCTCCATAGTGACTCCTCTATAGTGACTCCTCCATAGTGACTCCTCCATAGTGACTCCTCCATAGTGACTCCTCCATAGTGACTCCTCCATAGTGACTCCTCCATAGTGACTTCTTCATAGTGACTCCTCCATAGTGGGGAAACGTGGACGAAAAAAGATCTTGAGCCTTTTATGGTAACTTTTGATGATATTTTTAAGAAAACTGCGATTACTAGGCGAAATTCAATTCTATGCAGGAGTGTACCGGATTCCTAAAATTTTGAAAGTTTAGGAAAATATTTTTATAGGTACTATGGGTTTGTTCAAAAAAGTAATTAACTAAACTTGAGAGAAGCACAGAAATTAAAGGTTTTTACGTAAAAATTCCTTTTACTTGACGAAAAATTATTTAAAATGATAAAATACAACAAAAATTAATAAAAAACAGGTTTTTATGACTTCTTTAGGTATCTTTTGTTATATATTTTTAGATTATGTGAGATAATGTTAAACTAATCTTTAGAGAGTCAAAAGAACCTTATTTTTTTACGTTAAAATGCTTTTCACTGTAAAAAAAAATATTTAAAATTAAAAAAAAAATATTTAATCTAAAAAGTTTTAGAATCTATTGTTAGTTTTTTTTCCCTCCCTATTGACATGTTTAACAATTTTTGAATAAACCCACAGTATCAACAAAAGTACACTAAAAGGTTTATTTAGAATTCAGTGAAAACCTGTTTTTTTTAAGATTTTAGAAAAACATTTATTTTCGTAAAAATTTACATCATTTTTATCATCTTGTGAGTTCATTTGAAAACATGTTAAACTTTACTATAAGGAAGCAAAGGAACCTAGATTTGATTAGATCAAATGCTTTTTTCTGTACAAAAAGTTATTTTAAATCAAAAAATAGGAAAAAGTTTTCAAAAAAACAGGGTTAGTAAATAGAAAAGGAGAGTTCTGGCTCATTTTCATTTTCAACCATATTTTCAACCATATTTTAAATTAAATATATGGTTCATTTTTAAGCATAGCGTGTATAAATTGTATAATTAAGAAATAAATTTTTAAATCAATTTTGTAGATTTAAAAATTATTTTTTAAATTACTGCTAATTTCGTTTCTTGCGTGACGTCACAGGTTACGAGACTTTCCAGTGCGCATGCGTCATTTTTAAAGCATAATAGCGCTACTAGGCATAGTAGAGCTTATGGATAATAGTAGCATTGTCCTATTAATGCAGCAAAGCTTCCAGATTGTCAAACTTGTGCGTCACAATCGAGGTATTAGCAGATTAATACTAGTTAATGTTTGTTGTAACGATGAAGTTCTTTAGCCGATTAATACTAGTTAATGTTTGTTGTAACGATGAAGTTCTGATAAAAGGTTGTAACCAAAAGGTCACTGATTTGCCTGTTTTATTGTATAATTGTATATACAAACTTGATGAAAATGGAAGATTAAATGTAAAATATCCTCCAAATGCACTAGTACTAAATACATTACATCCTTGTAAAGAGTTTGCATAATAGGGCCCACCAAGTGGTGCAATTATTAAATTACAAGCTAAAGACGTATTATTAATACCTACACCATCTGTTACAATAGAATCATTACCTATGCAAAGTACATTGTCAGCATATATTTTTAAAAATAAGTTACCTGACACAGTATTAGGTGCAATAGTAGATCCTGTAAATGCAATCCACAATTTTTTTAGAATTCCTGAACTACCACTACAGCTAAAAATAGTGTATGATCCTGGAGTTGTATAGAATGCTTGAGATTTTAACCCAAAGCATGTCAAACTTGTATTGGGAATGATATCTAAACTTTGATTTTGTATATTATCAACGTAGCTCTTTGTAACAGCATCTTGTGCATTGGTAGGATCAGCTACATTTATGAGTTTATTTGTATTTAAATTAATGTTAGCAATGGCAGGATTCTGACCATCAGTTCTTAGATACATACTGCTAGAAGTTTGATTATTATCAACATAATGGTTTGTAGCAGCATCTTGAGGATTATTTGGTTCATCTACATTAATTAATTTATGTGTATTTAAATCAATGTTACCAGTTGCACGATTCTGACCATCAGTTCTTAGATAGAGATTGCTAGGAACTTGTACAGTATCTACATAATGCTTTGTAGCAGCATCTTGAAGATTAGTAGGATCAGCTACATTTATGAGTTTATTTGTATTTAAATCCATGTCAGAAGTTGCTCTATTGTCTATATTAATATTAAGATTTAAATTTTTAGATTGACCATAAGCAGTTAATCCGAAAACTGAATTACCAAATATATCAACATTCATTTTATATACTCATTATTTTTATTCGATATATTTTTCTAAAATATCTAAGATTCACCAAAGTGCATTGATTATACTTTGAAAATCATTTCCTTCATCTAGCTTTTTTAAAATATAGAGACATCTCCAGACAGAACTCTTTTATTATTATAAGAAACAGGACTGTGTAAATATTGAACGAGTTCAACTTGAGGTTGTAGTGCATAAGAGTCAAAACTTAGTTTCTTATCTCCGTCTTTATACCAGCAAATCCAATGAAATCCATTCGTACTCTAATCTCCAGTATTTAATATTCCACAATCTTTTTTTTGTGTATTTTTAGGTAATTCATCTCTTACAAATACACCTCTAAAATTTTTTATTTTCAACTTTTTTGCTGCTTTTATTAACTAAAAGTTTGTTAGTGGTTCATTTGGTAAAATGATTTCTTCAACATTGATTCTTTTGTCCATTTTTATTAATAGATTTAGATTTTTTTTAGATCTCTTTAGAGATCCATGCTTCGCTACAAAAATTACTTACCTGTTTTTTAATTTATGCCTGCCTGCCTGCCTGTGCTTGTTTATTTCCAATCAATCTGAAATGAAAAGTTAGGCTTGCCAATACTATCGCTTTCATTCCAATCAATCTGAAATGAAAAGTTGGGTTTCTCTTCTAGATCCTGAAGGGACCCATGCTCTGCTAGATCCTTCGGATTCATAGGAACTAATTTATAATGACCATACGCTAATGCGTGTATACTATCTTCTAAAATAGTTCTTTTGTCATCTTCTGCACTGAGTGCTATTTTATTTATTTCTTCTGTATAAACATCATGTAAATGAGATCTTATGACATTCATTTTTCTCATTTGATCTTTTCTATTCAGAAGGCAGTCTTTGTAATCTTCATGTGTTATACATTTTTTAATTACATTTCTTTTTACTCTTTTACATTTTTTTTATCTTCTCCATGTACTTTGTATAAATACAATTTTGATCTTAGACCTACAAATTCTTTAATTTGTGCTCCTCCAACTTCATCTTTAAACTTTCCAAATTCTTTCTTATTTAACCCTACTTTAAATCCATTTTGAATTGCTGGGTGATTTTTGTCAAATTCACTCGTATCGAATTTACTTTCAACATCATTAGAAATATCTGAATAAAAGTCTTTTGTTTTTATTTCGTATGCTAAAGAGTCTGTATCTGTGAATAATAGTCTTGCTTCATCTCCATATTTACTTTTGATGTAATCATAATTAAATTCATACAAGTCTTGCTTAAATCTAAAATGCACATACCCAAGTAAATAGGTTTGTTATAAACTAGTTTTGTTCTTTTCATAGCGAGTTTTCATCAAATATCGTTCTACTTTCATAGTTTGGTTTTGATGCTAGTTTTATAGCTTCTTATTTTTTAGTGATTAATCTAACATCTACTCTGTTTTTAATATTCTCCATTGTTTTTCCAAATTAATATTCTCCATTGTTTTTCCTGAATTATTCATGAGTTTAAAAAAGTCTTTTTCAAAGTCATTAGTAGTTTTTGTTTTCAAATTTGTATTGAGCTCAATGTACTTACTTAGCCATGCGCTCTCTTCAAACTTTATTCCTCTATGAATTTTTGTTATTTTCAATCTTAATCTTTCATACAATTTCAAATTTTCATAGTGAATGATATAGTTTTTCTTATGATTTAAATTAGGTACTAACTTATCAACTTTGAATATTTTTAATCTTTCAGGAGCAAGTGGATAATCATTATGAGCATCATGTAAATTTTCAGGATATTCTAAATCTGCTTCTAATATACAAGAAATAGATTTCTAATTTTTTAATTTTTCGTCATTCATCCATTGAAAACCATGTGTGGGAAGGGGTTTACTCATAGCCCATCCGTATATATTATTAGCATCTAGATACTGTATGTAGGTAGATTCTTTACTTTCATCATAGGTTTTCATATTTTTATTATTAGCAGTTCCTCGCCTGTTAGAAATCATACTAATTCCACCTCTTATTCCTTGCCTTATCATTAAGATCATATCATAATCACTTAACAATTCTAATTCTATTTTTGTTATTTTCAACGCAGCATCCTAAGCTAACCCTAGTGAAGTATAGTACCAAGCTGGATCTAATTTATAATTTTTCATACATACATCTCTAAAATTCTCAAAGACATCAGCTAATAACAATACATCTGAAACATTGCATAAATTATGATAATCTCTAAACGTTTTACAATAACACTTTTTCCATACAGTTTGTGCATGTGAGTAATCTTCATCACTTATTCCTTCATCATTTAATCTTGAAAAGAAGAGTTCTTTCGATGGTAATTGCGTTCATTTAATTTATCAATAGAATCAACCCATTCATAAGGATAAACACCTTTTCTTAATAATAAATCGAGATCATTTCCTGAATAGTATTTTCCAATATTTTTACATAGCTCCTTTGTTAGATTCTTAGACAAGCTATCTAAACTAGAAGCCATAAATCTATAACTATCAACGAAACGGAGTTGTAGTTTAACTTCAATAACTTTATTATCTTTATTCGTATATTCACCAACTTTAAGTTCTTTAGAAAAGCTGATATACTTTTTTTCATTGTTAGGAATGCAACTTAATTTTCTTTCTGACAATTTCTTTATGAACAAGTGAGAGTCATAACCAGATAAATTGTGAAATAGTACTGGAATGATTTTTGGAATTTTAAATTGTAAACTACAATCTTTATGAGCAGCACCTCTATATTTACCTGTAATATGTCAATGATCTTTTACTCTATCATCTTTTAATTCTTCTTCGCAAATGTGACATACTTTTGCATTATTAAAACTATTTTTGTCTTCAGGTGTAAATATCATTTTTTTCGGAAATTTTAAATAAGTGTTGTAAATCTTCTTAATATCTTCTTCTAACATATCAACAAATTTTTTTGCAACATCATTTTTTTTCACTATTTGCAATGAATTTGACTGGTTTACTTTTATATACACTTTCATCAAAACATTTGATATAGTAACAGAATGAACTTGGTGTATGTTTTTGATATTGTTTTGTATAAGATTCATTCGGATTAGGTGAGCTAGTATTTATAGGTGTTATAAAACTTTCAAAGTCGGCATAGACTACAAAGGGTACTCTCATAGATCTATTGTAATTAGTAAACTCAATCATTGTGTTTGGCTCTGGATGTTCAATTCGTACTGAATCATAAGTATCACAATACAATTTATGCTTTCACAAAGATTCTTTAGTACTAAATGCTTGTAAGCAATTTCTACAAAAATGCTTTTTACCATTATGTTCGGATATTTGTGATGAAAGTAATCTACTTAAATCTTTTATTAAACAATAATGATTGGTTTTATCATTCGAAATGAGTAACAAGTCGATTTGATGTTGTCTATTAATATTTTTAGATACGCATAAAGGGTAAACTGAACTTTCATATCCATAGATATTAACACGTATATCTTGGTTATTTTTTTCAAATAGTGTTATCTGTTTTTGTGACCCTGGGAATTCTATTTTTTCCCAATTTAATTTATTAGCTTGTTCTTTTAAATCTTTATCTACTTTTTCAGAATTTTTTTCTTTAGTATTAAAAAATCGAGCTACACACCACTTAAAGCATTCGTTGTCTTCATTCTTCATACTAATGATTGCTTTTTTAGTTGCTAACTCTTTAGGAAGAGGAATGTAAGAATTATCTTTAAGGGGTTTATATTCAATCATATTAATATCCATCTTTTCAACAGAAACAAATCTCCAATTTGATCCCATCTGTTGAAATGTGGATAATAACTCTAAAATTTTTTGTTCAGCTCTTTCATAAAAGTCATTTAAATCTGTCGATTCTAAAACAATTTCTGCTTTTGTTGAAAAAGTTTCAATTGTTGTTTTAGTTTCTCCTGTTTTAAGATCAACACGCTCCATTTTACATGAAAGAACGATATAGATCTTTGATCCTTTATTGCTATTCAGTATTTTAATGGCATTATTTATAAATGATTTCATAAATGATAAAGCATCATATCCTTCAACACCTTTAGCTGAAAATTGCTTTGTCACGTTTCTAACAGCTGATTGTGTTAATTTAAACTCTATTGGTTTTCTAACTCTAAATCTTTTATACAAATTAGAAACTGTAGATTTTATTGATTCGATTTTCTCATTAGTTGTATTTTTAATAGGTTCAGGAACAACAGACATAATCCAATTAGCAAATGAATTAATTTTATTATTAACAATATTAATATACTTACTTAGAACATACTGAGAAGGCGTTAGAGCATTTTGTGTAATGTGTTTTGGAATCGGCTCGTCTAATATGTGTGATCTTTGTCCTAACTCTCTAATGAGATCTGCTTTTCTCATTCTATAATAATATTTATTTATTCGCTCTTTTGCGATTTTTCTCAATTCTGTTAATTTTATATTTTCCATTTTTATATATACAAGAAAATTATTTATGTCATTTTCAATTTTTTTATATTTCTTGTTAAGAAATTAATTAATAGCAAAAATAAAATTCTTAGTATATATTTTATTTTAAAATAATTAATTCTTCATTTTATGATTTTATTATTTCTATTTTTACTCCATTTTTAACTTTTCCATTATATTTCTCAGCAAATGATTTACAATGCTTTTCTTTACGAATATAGTCGTACAATGAATTGTATATTTTAACTTCACCAGTTTCTACATTAGTTAGTTTTATAGTTGTTGGATTTGTTCTAATTTTTGCGAGCCAGTCATATTTAGGATCTCTTTCTTTTTTTTCTTTAGGATAAATTCTAGGTCTTCTAGGTCTTTTTTCTCTTTTATTACTTTTTCTTTTTTAACTCTTTTAACTCTTACAATCTTTTTTTTTGTTTGTTTTTTAGTAATGATATTTGATTGTATAGATTCTTTATCAATTAAATTATTATCCATAGCAATCATAACTAATGCAATGTGATCTTTAGATGTTTGTTGTATATTATTTTCTTTTAGTAAATTTAATAAATACTTTTTTGGATATTTTATTTTGTCACTCATTTTTATTATATAAAGAAAAAAAATTTAACTCATTTTAAAAAATATTTTTTTCTTTGAATATTTTAACAATTATATATATTTTAAAAATATATAATTAATTCTAAACTTTTATGTACGGCGGAGCCTAAGTTATTGCAGATCTAATCTTCTTTCTAATCTTCTTAATTCTAATCCTGCATCTACTACTAGTTTCAAATCTTCTTCTAATCTCATTGCTTCTATTCTTTCTTCCAACTCTTCGTAATCTTCTAATAATTTTCTATTTTTTTTAATAATATTTTTTTATTTCCAATTAATAATTCTTTTAATCTTTCTAAATCTTCTTTTTTATATCCGTTTCCACCACACACTCCTACTATATTTTGTAATTGATTCATTCTTTCTTGATTAAATACTAATTCTGATCTTGAATTAAATCTTTCTTCTAAATCTTCTAACACTTCTTCTTCAAATCTTAATTTTTCTTTCTAATTTTTTAATTTTAAATACAAGTTCTTCTAGTCTTTCTTTTTTAAATCTTAATTCTAATTTTAATTCTTCTAATCTTTTTTTAAAAGAATTAAATATTTCGTTTTGCATTTCGTTTTCCATTCTTTTTATATATAAAAGAAAATTATTTATGTCATTTCAAAAAAATTTTTTTCTTGTAAAAATAAACAAATTTTTTTTCTTACATCATTTGCTAGATCCATTGCTGTAATGTGAAGTTGTCGTCGTTACAGTGGTATTTGTATTAGCATTACCAGAAGTGGCTGATACGCATATATTTTTAATAGTATAAAAAAAATATTTAAAGATTTTTCAATTTTTTATTATCAACCCATGAGTTAAAAGTATCAGGATAGCCATACCACTTTACTGACGATTTGTTTCCTTATTTACGAATAACCTTTTCAATTCTAAATATCTCTTGATTCGTTTTTTGTAGTTCTTGTTCATAAAAAGTACTTTGAATTTCTTCACCATTATAATCAGTTATTTTATAAGTTGGTGGATCTGTGTACTGAACTTGTGATATTGTAAATACCTCTTCAGCCCATCTTAGTGTGTATCCTTTTTCAAACGCTCCTTTATTTTTAGTTATTCTCACTTTATCACCTATTGAAAACTTGGGTAGAGTAGAATATGATCTCACTTTACTATTTAGATTCAACTAAACTTTATTTTCGTTCTTTTTATTGCTTGCTTCAAGTGGAGTCATTTTAATCGAAGAATGCTTTGTGCTGTTGTATTTATTCACCATTTCATCTAAAACATCGATGTATTTTCTAGTATAGTTAGCAGAAAAGTATTTGAACATTTTTTCTTTCATTGTTCTATTCCATCGTTCAACTACACAGCTTTTGTCTTCATTTTCAGTTGAATAAAGCTGGACTCCTAATGCTTTAACATGTTTCTTATTAAATTCCAAGCCTTTATCTACCCATAATTTATCGCATTTCCTAACTTTAAATATTTTATTGAATGCATTAGCAACTTCAATTCCTGTCTTATTTTTCAATGGAACAATCCATCCATACTTTGAAAATACATCTATCACCATCAATAAGTATTTTATACCGTCATTGAACTTGGAAAAAGCTTGCATGTCAACTAAATCAGCAGCCCATATGTCATCAATCCCATTTGAAATTACTTTTCTTTTTCTAAAATGTTTTATAACAGGTTTATGAAGTTCATTTGCAAATTCATCAGTCCATTTCCAGTTTTTGCTTTTTTTGTTGATCGCTGGTAGTTTTTTGACTTGACGCCTAATTCAAACTTTGCTTTAGCAGATAAAATATATTTCTAGTTGGAGTATCTTGATTATATTTATAAGCAAGATCATGAATATAAGCTGCTTTATCAACTCTATCTACTGGTTTACTCCATTCTTTAGGTGTATCAGTAGAAGTTAATCTTTCATCTAAATTAGTGCCAGGTCCTGCAAAGTTCATACCTGGTAAATGCATTTCACCTGGAAACTTTGCCCATGGTAATTTTTTATTCTTTGTGAATTTATTAATATATTCTACTAAATCACCTCCTTTCTTTGTTGATAGATCCTGAAAAGATCCAGGCTTCGCTGCAAATTGAGTTTTTGTTGTACCACAATTAGCACAATTTTCACGTAACATATTTCTATTATTTTTACTTACAGCATGTTGTAAGTTTAGTGTATCTATTTTGTTTCTACATTTAACGCAGTACATTTTTATATACATATTTATTTTAATTTATTTCAATAATATATCTTGTAATATATCTAATAATATATCTAGTAGATTGTTTACATAATTATAAGTAATATTGCATTTTGTAAATCTAATATTTCTGAAAATGATATAAATAATTTTCTTTCATATATAAAAAATGTCATATGTGAATATTGAAAATTTCGATGAATCTAAATTGTGTGCTAGTGAAGTCATTAATTTTTATAAACCTGTTCATTATCAAAAAATGAGAATTAGTTATAAAGGAGAACCATTTTTATCAGTAGAAACACCTAAATTATTTTCATATGGAGTCTGTGAAAATAGAGATCCAAAAACAAAGAAACTGACTGGATATTCAATTCTACTTGTATGTTTTAATGAAATGAAAAGAAAGACTAAAGAAGAAGAGAAATTTATTGAAATGATTCAATCTATTGAGAAATTTTGTAGAGATAAAGTTAAAGAAAAACTAAAAAAAAATAAATACTGACAACTTAAAAATTCTAAAATGTAATGATAATAAACCTCCTGTTATATTTGCAAAAATACCAACAGAAGATCTAAAGATGGTAGTGTATTCAGTTCTGAAGATAATGTAGAAATTTCAGGACATAATCTTATTAAAAAAAGATGTCATATTAAAGGGTGTTTAAGAATTGAAGGTGTTTATATAAGCTCAACGATTCAATCTATACAAGTAAAATTAGAAGATGCAGTTGTTTATAGCGAAGCAAGGATCCCTTCGGGATCTGAAAAAAATAAAGTAAATTATAAAATGATTTATAATAACTTAGCTAAGTATTGATCACAAAGTGATCTAAACAAGAGTTATTATAAATATAAATGATGGATATTGAAGTACATAGCAATAAATCAAATATCACTACAATTCAATTTGATCCTATTATTGAACTTGATAAAACAAAAAAATACGAAATGACATTTATAAGATTAGAAACTATTACACTACAGCGTTTCATCTCAAAAAAAGTGTTTGCATATATCAAATAATATTGTAGATGAAAAAAATATAAATGGTAAGAAAACTACTGTAATGCATACATTCTTACCAATGACTTGTCCTTCAGGTATGAGCCTTGTTGAAGTACCAAATTTTAAAAGTTATTTTCCATAAAAAACAAGTACATTGTCAAAAATGACAGTTGAAATAGTGGATGATGATCGTCATGCTATAGATATGAGTAAAGAAAGATTAATAATACAATTTCACCTCAGAGAAGTAAAGTAGAGTATTCTAAGCTCAACTAAATTTTTTATATCACAAAATGATATAAAAAAATATATGCATATATAAAATGAAGATAATTCTACATGGAATAGGTAGAGTTATAAATACTACGCTTGGTCAAAATATTGAGTTGGATGAAGATAAAAATTATGAAATGGCTGTAATGGGATTAGATACATATATTACTTTTTCAAATATACATGAAACGAATAATAAATTTAGATTTAGTATAGATGATAGTGGTAATTGGGTAGATTTTACTTTTAAAAAAGGAGCATATGGACTTGCATCTTTAACTAAATACATTTACTAAAAGAAAGTCATTTATCTGGTACAATTACATTTACAGCAGAAGTTGATACAATGAGTACAAACATGACTCTTTCACTAAGGTTTCAAGTTGATTTTAGAATTTCAAATTCAATTAGAGAACTTTTAGGTTTTGAGAGTAAAATATATTATGGAGGTAGTAATATATCGGAAAAAATAACTAATTTAACGCATGTTAATACTATACATATAACAAATAATCTTGTAAAAGCTGTACGTGTAAATAATAAAGTTATAAATGTTGTACATTCATTTTTTCCAAAAGTAGGTGTTGGATTTAAAATTACAGAAAAAGTAGATTATCCAAGTTATTCAGAAATGACATCAAAATCATTTGTAGATATAACAACTACATTAGTAGGTCAGTATGGACATCTCCTTGAAAATCTAGGGAATCAATTAACTATTAAGTACCATATTAGAGAACGTGTTGAACCTGGTGAAACTGTAAGACTTTTAAAAAGAAATGAATATCTATTAAGTGAAATACTAGCTTTTTTTTAAAAAAAATTTACTAGATAGAATAGTACTAATTCTTAAGCCTGAAAAGATCGCAAAGCAATTTAGCAAAGCCAGATTCATTGTAATGAATTAAAAAATTATTGTATATATAAAAATGACAATAT